CTCATACTGCATTTCCAAATGAGTGGATACTTTTATGTTGCTATACAAAAAAGCAGAGCTCAACCTGAAGTTCAATTTTATAAGCTCGACGTTGCTCGAGAGTTGCAGCATCTGAAACTTCAGGATTTCCTTCTGGGTGTAATTCATTATCAAAAGCAGTTCCTTCTTCACCATTTGGGGTCAATTGATTCTCCATTTTCTCAGCTGAAGTGTCGCTCTCATTGGTCTTTGGTAGATAGGAGTCTCCCAGACTCAGCTGTTGGTCCATCCAAGCTCCCATTGAATTAATGATGCTAACCAAGCACTTTACTGATTCATGCCGGAAAGTGATATCCTGCACTGGAGACAGTGTTGTTGTTGAACCAGAGGGTGGTCCTAGAGCTGTTTTCAGAAGACCATTGACAATCCTGCAAATATCTGATGGAATTATAAGGGTTTTAATACATTTTACAAAAACACAACGCTTAAAAGGGAATGAAAACAAAAGGTTAAAATGCATGTGTGGTGTGTGTGTTACACAGAGAGAGAGAGAGAGAGAGAGAGAGAGAGAGAGAGAGAGAGGGAGGGGTAAGTACTAAGCTCTGCTATATGAAGTATAAATAGCCCCAAAGGCAGAAAAACTGGGTTTAAGCTAAGACCTTTGGCAAAACCAACCACTCAAATTGTCTTAATGCAAAAGAACGTAGTCATATTTTCCAAACGTCTACATGGGACAGAAGAATCTATCGTCCAATTTAAAATAAGAAAGGGATCCAGATGAGCTTTATACATGGTTGGCTACAATTGGTTCTAATATATTAAAACAGTTTCCCCACCCCCCACCCCCAAAAAAAAAATTGTATCATGTGCAGGAAAAATAGATTAAAAGGAAAACAAATTATTGAAGTTCATAGACAATATTGCTAAATTCATCTTATGGTTTTAATCCTAATTTGGTTGAAAAAGAATATACAGTAATTGGGAAATTTCCAAGTTGTAGCTCTGAATCTTAGCTCAGAAAGAACCTAAAGAGATTTTTTTATAAAAAAAGTAAAGACTGATTGGAACACAATTTTCCTCTCCTTTAGCTACATACACTCAACCTTTTCCTACACTCTAATCTCTAATAAAGGTATTGAAGATATTTAATAGCTTCATATCGCAGAAGTGCTTGTTCAGCCAGTTTCATTAGTAACAAAAGCACCCCAATTATTCAACCTTAAAGTTCGAGATAAATGTTGTTATCTCCTAGGTAGAATTCAAGCTTAAGATTTTTTGTTCAGATATGGTTAAAACTATGTGAGCTTCAAACTTGAAAGAAAACTAAAACATGCTAGCTATCCCAAAACAGAAAATAAAGAATTGCCCAGGGAAAATGCTGGTTCTGATGGAATCAGAGGCACAGAAAGCAACAATGTAACAGACAAGTGCAATACCTTTCAAAGATGTTCGGGGCATCCACATCACAGTCATAGTTGACAAAAATGTCAATGATAATCTGTGAATCCTGAGAGATCTTCTCCAATAAATTGAGGACTGTCATTTTTTGCAAGAAACTAGGCTGCAGAACATTCTCAAGCACGCGTAAGACGAGCATTGGAAAAAATATACCAATTTCTGCTTTCAACCCTGATCTGAATTTTGATAACAAGCTCGTGAAAATAGAACACTGAAGCTGGAAAATGGCCATGACTGACAACGCACTGTTTTTTAAGAGTGATAAGCAGAGGAACTGCTTGATAGCATTGAGAAACCTGTGCCACAAGAAAATGAAAAGTATCGGCATTCTCAGGAGTGATGCATCAACTTTGGTGCAAAAGAAAGCCTACTTTAATAACAACAATATATCACAAACAGTGTAACAAGAAAAAGACTGCGTCTCAGATTAAAAATCCTTAACAAGAAGAAAAAGACACTTAGTGCAGCATTCATGATTGCTTAAGCGCCTGCATTTAAACTGCCCTAGTATATAAAGTCATTAAACATCATTTGGTCACTAATTTAAACTACCCAGACAGTCGCCAGAAATATGCCAAAGAGCAAAATGACAGAAACAGAAACAACAAACATCTGCTCTACTAAGATTTCAAAGTAAAAGTAACACTAATCTTAAGCAAGTGGCTACGATTAGCATACAATCACTTGCCTCTCATTGTTGCGCCAAAATGGACCCCCATTGTCCAAGACCACCTTCAAAAGCTCCAATGACAATACTTTACCCCTCAAGAGAATCTGATCATCAGAGTGCTCCTGTGATGAGAATTTCATCGATAATTTGCACAAATTCTTAAACAAAAGATACCCATCATCCCTAATCTTACTACCGCCATCACCAGATTCAGCTCCATCAACATTCGAATCTCCGTCACCACCCGATTCACCGCGTCCACCGGCATTGCCATTTTGCAATTTCAGCTTCGGAGACGGCACCGTTTTGTTACCATCCGGACCAACATAGTTCGCGTCCATAACCTCATTGACGAAATTCTGGCAGAACAAAATGGAGCTCCCTTCGTTCAAATTCTTATCGGTGAATTCCAACAATTCATTAACCGAAACCCTAGAAATGCTAACATTCAAAGAATCCTCCTCCACTCTGGTGAAAACAATCACCATAATCTGAGCCAAAACCGACTTGGCACAGATCTGATTGGTCCCATTCAATCCCCCAAGGTACACATTGTAACAAGTCCTCACAATATTCACCAAACAATCGCCCCGGATCAAAACCCGTGGCGATCTCACAGCGGCAAGCAGAGTCCGGAGCACGCCCAGCTCGATCGACTCCTCACCGAGCCCAGCGCACTTACACAGCGACTCGACGAGCTTAAAGAGAACAAATTTCTGATCGGAAGCGTGGATCTCGCCGCGGAAGAGGCCGACGGAGAAGAGCTTGAAGGCGCAGTCGACAGCGGGCTCGACGACCTTGGGGTAGGCAGAGTCGAGGGCGAGGAGGATGGGGCCGAGGACGAATTCTGAGTCTGCGAGGGAGAGGCCGGAGATCGGCGATTTGGGGTCGACGATGGACGAGTCGGATACCGAGTCGAGCTTGTCGAGCGTGGACTTGCAGGCGGCGACCAAATGCGAGTGCTTGCGCCA